AAGAGAAAATAAATCATCACTAAACGTATTTTTTTTTTTTTTTGAAGAAAACAAAAAAACATGTAAATAAACCTGGTTATTCCATATTTTTGATCACCTTCAATATCTGGATATTTTGGTCTTCCTCCAACAGCTATAACAATATTTTTTCCAGTTATTTCTTTAGTTTGACCTTTTTTGTCAGTTAACTTAAATAAAAATAATAATTATTTAAAAAGAAAAAAAATAATAAATAAACTTTTAATCGACGTGGGGAAATAAATTGTCCATAAGAATTTTCATAAACAACACCTTTTGAACGAAGATCAGTTCGATATTTAAAATTAAGTGAACGAATATATGATTGAATTGATTGAATCATTTTTGACCAACTATGTTGACGAGATTTTTCTAAAACAAAAAAAACAAACAGAATTTTTTAAGTTTATTTTTCCTTTTTTATTGAAAATAAAAATAAAAAAAAATGTTCAAACCTTGTTCAACTTGTGACCAACCATAATCAATTGAATCATTGAAGTATTCACCAAGTAATGATGCTTGATGCATTAATTTTTTTGGAATACACTATCAATTATATTAATATTAATATTTCAAATAAATAATAAACTAAACTAAACTTACACCAACATTAACACATGTTCCACCAAGTCCTATTAGAAACAAAAAAATATTATTATTTAATATATATATATTGATTACAAACCCCAAGTTGTTCCAATAGGTGTTGGTTTAACAAAATCAAGTACACATACTTTTTTATCAAATGATCGAGCTTCCTAAGAAAAAAACAATTTATATTGAAAATTTGTTTTTTTTTATATATATATAAAATACTTTTGAACATGCAAGTCCACCAGAACCTCCTCCAATAACAATTAAATCATAGTCATATGAATCTAAATCATCATCAGCTACTTTTCGAGATTCAATTTTCGATTCAGTCCCATTAAGAAGAGTAGCAACTCGACCACTTTTCATTGCTTCAAGAGTCTTATCACAACCACCTATATATTATTAAAATAATTATTATTTTCTTTTAAAAAACAAAAACTATGTTTTAAAAACAAACCAATATGTTGTTTTTTAATAAATATATTAGGAACAGTTTCTTGTTGTGTTTTATTAATTAATTCATTTAGAATCGTTTCACCTTCAGCTAAATCAATAATTTATATTAAAAACAACAACAACAACAACAACAAATAAGATAAATACCGATTTGATCTAATTCAATTGAATAAAAATCAATATTAGCAGATGTTAATGCTTGTTTTATCTAATAATAATAATAGAATATTAAATAAATAAATAAAAATAAAATAAAATCAAACCTTTTTACAATATGGACACCAAGATTTTGAAAAAATCATAACATCATTTTCATTAATATATTTTTCAACAAGATGAGCAATTCGATTTTCATCTCCATCTTTTACAGGTGGCATTACGGGTTTTATTCTAAAACAATTTTCTTTTTCAATTTAATTGTTAATATAAATACATATAAAAAAAAAACACACATCACTCTTACAAGAAAATAAATTCACAAGAAAAAAAAAAAAATCTATGTTGATTACCTAATGGTGAAATAACCTCTCGCTGATTTTTTATCTCGTTTAAATGTTATAGAAAGAGAAAAAGAATGAATAATGTTTGCATTTTTTGCATCGTCATTCATTCGTATGTAAAAAAAAAAAGAAAAGTCTGAACAGTAACATCGTCACATCATTATTTATTTTAACTAAAATGAAAAAAAGATAAACGATGTATTAAAAAAGTGCCCTCTATAAAAAAAAAGAACATTAACTAAAATAAATCGTCAAAGAGGATATTACTTAACCAATTAAATTACTTTTTAATAAAAAAAAGTTTTACTTTTCTACAATTCTAAAGATTGAAATGATAATTAGTTTTCTTTCGATCAATCAAAATAAAATAGAGTCAGAGTTAAAACTGTTTTATAATGAATATTTATTGATCAATATTCATAGAATCAACGATAATCTTTTCAAATTTTTTTCAATTCAATTAAATATAACAATATTTAATTCGTTATTACTTCATTTTCGTTTGATTATTTATTAATAAATACTTATTACATTATTCTTTATAGACTGTTCATTTAACTTTGGTCATATTTTAACAGAAGACATATATATATATATTAAAATTATGTTCAATAAATGTCACTTTTAATGAAAATATCTCTTATTTATTGACGTTTAATAGACTTTTCTTTTTCTATTTCTCATATTGATAAAACAACATCTTCTTCGTTTAATACTCTATAATAATTCAAACGATTTGATTAAATAAAAGAATTGTAGAAATAGTACTCAGTTATTTTTAGCTTTTTTAAATCACATATGTAAAATAAATTTCACTTATGAATTATTTTAATTTGAACGAATTTAATGAAATTCTTGCGATTCATTCTAATGATTTAAAAGTGAAAAATCTAATTGAATCATTGTAACTAGCGTATGGTCTACACTTGAATTAAAAAATGAAAAAATAGTAATACTAACCAAATCTAGATATTCGATTTTTAATTTCAGAATTAACATATTTAACGTCTAACTATGATTCTACACAAATAATCTTGACTATATGTTCATTTCAATTAATTTATACATATGACCATTGAATCTTCTAAACCAAAAATAGTATTCAATCAATCGAGCAAAAAAAAACCAAATAATTGTCACAATTTGTTATCTTCAATGAATGTGAAAGTTAAAAAGTGAGAGAAAACCAATTTTCTTCTTGTTTGCCATTTAAATGAAAGACATTTAGTAATTATTTTCTTTTTTTCGAAAGATAAATATAGCCGTGTATATATGCAAACATTTATGTTTATTGAAATATGTTCTTGGAAAGAAAAATATCTCGTTTATTTTACTGCAAAAAAGAAAAAAAGATTTAGTGACCAAGCAGATTTATTCATAAAAATAAAATATGATACACTATCATTTTGATCATTGTAAAAACTTAGATTTTTATCGAGTTCTTCTTCACTTGTAATACGAGAGATCCTTACTGGAAGTGATTGTCGATCTATAATAGAGTATTTACTTATATGAAACTGAATGAAACTTGAAAAAATATATTTCGTAAATCTATCTAATTAAAAATATTGATAAAAAGACTATGATGCACTACTGATCGAAGTTTTTCGATTTGATAGAAAATGAAAAAAGTATTTGGGCCTAGTTAAATTTTGTGAATCGTTTGTTCAAATGAGAGAATGATTATAATGGATAATGATTACAATCTATATATTAAATATTATTAACAGTGATTTTATTAATTTGATTTTGTCAAAACTAGTCGAACAAATGAATGAACTTATTCAATAATCAATAAAAGATGATTAGTTTTATTTTTTTGATGACATATATAAGAAACAGAATATATTTTCACTATTATAAATAGACGAAAAACAAAAATAAATAAATAATAAATAGTTAACATTCTATAATAATCCATAATTGATTCGAGCTGTTTGTTGAATCGAACACACTGCATATGTGTCATAGACAAAAAAAAAAGAAAAAGAAATGAGGTTTCTTTTTTGAGTGATACTTGGTTTTGATAAATCTATCTCGTATCAATTTTATTGGCGAGATAAAAGAACGAGAAAACACTCACAAACAAATATCTATTATAGTTTGTTAAGTGACATTTTCAATATTATTTCATCAATAAATCATTGAAATTAACTTAGAAATTTGAAATAAATATTTAACTCAATATATAATAATACTAAATTAAATGAGTTAAATATTTTTAATAATTAACTCATTTAATTTAATTTGAAATAAGTCAAAAGCCAAAATAAATGAGAAAATCTTTATTGAGATTTTATTTGAGTTAATGTTTGTTTTTCCTTAGTTAAAACAAAAATAATTTTTATATAATAAAGTGCCTGATTAAAGCTAGATATTGATCAATCTAAAAACGAATTATTTTATTGACGATTAAAATATTGAAATATTTTTAACAGAACAAATCTATCAAGATAAAACAATCGAATAATCGATCGGTATGAATATTAACTGAAAATGTTTGTAAAGTAAGAGCTTAAAAGACTGTTTCTATCAAAAAAGAGTTTATTTTAAAGAAATAATAAATAGAAATCATTGATCAATATCTTAATTATTAAATATGTACATTTAATGTTATTTAATACTAATTTAATTATCTTGTGTATATTTTTAATTTATTTCAGTCAATTATCAGTTTAATATTATTTTATTAAATTAATTTAGTTTATTCTCAATGACTATTTAAGTATAATAATTTGTATTGTATTGCTGTATCTTCTTATAAGGCAACAGATGGCTTGAATTTTGTTCGTAATTATAAAATAATGATTGAATAAAAAGCGTCTTTATTTGAGTTACTCTATCAAATATTCAATTGATAATCGATTTCGTTTCAATCTCGGAATTGATTTGAATTGAACAATTTATATTCTGCTTAATATCTGATAATATATTAGTGAAAGATTTCTATGTTACATAGACATAGACAATAATAATATGATATACTAGTTCGAAATAGATTCAAATGTGTTTTCATTTAAAATCAAATGAAAAATTATTGATCTATTTATTTATTTATTAACATGATAATTATGTTCGATTTCGTATAAATCAACTAAGATAAAGATAAAGGTAAACAATAAAAAATGATATATGTGCGCAAATAGAAAAAAACGCTTGCGTCAGCTAATGTTACAATAATGACGCATTAACGAGTGATCAGCTACGTTGGCATAAAAGTAATAATACATAAATACGTTTTTTTTCTTCTTGTTCTTCAATTATTTCTCCTTGTGTTCTTAACATGAAAATAGAAAGTACGTCATTTGTTTTCATTTTCATGTTTTTCTTTTTTTTTGCTTCTTGTTTTTTTTGATTGAAATAGTCACTATCGTTATTTAGTTATCGTGTGTGTTGTTATATAATAACTTACACAAAAAAGAAACCTCTAAAATGACACAAGAGAAACAAAGAATGGCTAATGAAACTAAAATGATCATAATAACATCAAATGAAGATTTAATTCGACAATTTTCTTTAAACAAAACAAATAATACACTTATTATTGATTTGGATAATCAGAAAGAAATAACTTTAGCAAACAATAATAATATCATTAATTTGAATTTACTTGATGAATTATCTGAATTGGTTTGTATAGAATTAAAATAAAATTTGTTAAGACAATCAATAGAAATTGTTTAGAATTCTACAAGTGATCAAATATATAAACGTGTACTTAATTCATCTGATCATAATAGATCAAAACCAGTTAAAATATCAAGAAAATCAACAGATTTAACTTGTACCATTTGTGGGGATCGTGCTGTTGGATTTAATTATGATGCTCTTTCCTGTGCTTCATGTAAAGCTTTTTTTCGTCGTAATGCTCATCAATCTCTGGTTAGTTACTAGTTTTATATCATTTTATTATATATATATATAGTTTATCATCAAACATTATACATAGGAATTCATTGAACATTTTAGATATATACACAATCTATTCTTTATATATCAAATTCTTTAGACTTATTTCAGATTTGTAATCCTAAAATACGAGTATATTCCTATATTCAATTATTATTCTATCTGCCTCCCTCCTCGCATCCTAGATTCTACTTTGTGGATGATTTTTCTTAATTGCTCTAAAAAAATTCTCTGCAATCCTGATGTCGTCATTAGTAAATAGCTATTCTTTATGTGTTTTTCTGATCATCAAGCGAATTGGAAATATCGTTCATTTATAACAAAAAAAAAAGAGTGCATTGTCAATGTTACTCATTTTTTCAATATTTATCTTTAACTTTTTGAGATAAAAGAGAAAATATTGACATATATTCAATGAAGAGAAGAGTAATGCGGTTTTATGTCGATCAATGAATAATAAATATTGATGAGAAAGTTCTGAAATAATGGTTAATTATAGAATGAAAATCAACAATTGTGATAAGATTATTGAATAAAGAATGAACGCAAGTTTGATGCAGAAGAGGTCAGAATGAATGTTCAAAATCAGAGTTTCCGAATACTCGATATTCGATGTATACCGAGTGGTTTAACATTGAAATAGAACGAGCAAAAACAAAAAAACATATTTTAAATATATGATGATGAGTAATAATAATTTTGTTTTTAGGAAAAATTATCATGTTTGACAGGTGAAGGTCAATGTTCAATAAGCTATGAAATGCGTCGTAAATGTCAACGATGTCGATTAAATCGATGTTTTGCTATGGGAATGAGAAAAGATTTTATTCTAAGTGATGAAGAAAAAGAACGAAGAAAAAAACGTCTTGAAGAAAATCGAAATATATCATCAAAACGTTCATCAACATCTGATTCGAATAATTCATTATTATCAACAAGTATTTCATCAAATTCTCAATCATTTTCACAAACATTTGATGATATTGATCATGTAAGTTTTTCATTGTTTACATTTAATTTAAATCAATATTTAATTAATTAAAAGATTTAAAATTACGTGAAAGAAATATATTTGTTTTGGTTTTTAGTTATTAATGGATATGGAGAAATATAATGATCAAATTCTTATCGATGAAACTATAGATTTATATCATATTGAAGATAAATCATTGGAAATAGAAACATTGTCTTGTCAAGATCGATTAACAATTGAAAATGTTCAATCATCATTTTTATCATATTTTCAAAATGAAAATATGCAATGTTTTCCAATAGATGCAACAGATCATGAAACAGCTCTTATATCTTGGTCTCAATCAGCTAATCAAATAGCTTTACGTTTTATTAGTTTTTTTCGTCAAATAGATGAATTTGAAAGTTTACATGCTGATGATCGTTTTATTCTTATTAAATATAATCTTCTTCCTCTTTTTCCAATATTTAAATGTTTTATTTATAAACCAATAAATAATTCTTATTTAAATGAAGAAAATCAAATAAATGAAAAACATCAATTATTAATGTTATCTGATCAATCAATTGATATTCGTCGTACATTGATTAATTTAGTACTTTCACTTGTTAATATAACTGAACAAGATCCAATATTATTATCTCTTTTATTGCCAATTCTTATTTTTTCTCAAGGTTTATCAATGAATGAAAATGAACCATCATTAAAAGACTCATTAGCTGTTAATCGAGCTCAAAATTATTATACAAAATTACTTTGGAAATATTCAATTAATAAATGGGGTGAAATGAAAACTTATAAACATATAACTCAATTACTCACAGTTATATTTCAACTTCAATTAGCAACTAAAAAATTTCGAGAATTTTTTCGTTTTCAATATATTAAATCAAATACTGTTGATAAAGTTACACCACTTATGCAAACTGTTCTACATATATCTTAATTCTTTTTTTTTTTTTAAATTTATTCATTTACTGAACAAATTTATTGTAAAATAAACTTATTTTATTATTCTATATATCTATTAGAATAAAATCTAGATTTATTTTTAAATTTCAAATATTTTTTATATTATTTTATTTATAAAAACTAAGACAAGTCATGTTGTTTTTCTGAATAATTACATCTTATAGATTTTGAACATTCTTTTAATAAGTTACACTTTCTATTCAGATTAGATTTCAATCAAGTTGATTATGTTATGCAATATAGAATTTTAATCTATATTGACAAACAAAAATTAGCGAATGAAAAATAATTTATTATATTAATCAATGCTCAATTATTTTGACTGACGTTCGAGAATTAGATTTTTGTCTTTAATCAAATTTTAATTTGAGTTCAAAATATTGAAATCAGTATTAACGAATATGCCATAAATAATGGCATCATATATAAAACTGTACTTAATCTATTCAAACAATTCGCTATATTATTCTCTAGACAATCAAAATGACAGCTTTATATCTAACCTTAGTAATGGTCATTATCATAAAAATTGAACAATACTCAAGTTCTCCAATATTTATCCATTTCTAACATATAATAATTTGTATTTGAAGTTTCGTTGATTAGATCTTAACTTTTTCATGGAATATTTATTTGTCGCCTGGAATTCTTTAAGAATCATTTATTTCATCATATATCGATATTTCGAAGGATCGGATTTTATTATGAAAGTTTCCGATGACTATCACTTTGAGTCAATATTATTAAAAATTCGATAAATTTGATGAAAGTTTAAGCTTATGTTTAGTGAGAGTATTGTTTTCTACATGGAAATCTGAATAAGGTTATAATAAAATAGGAATAGTGCCATTACTTATAGCGCACTAATTGTTGAAATACTAATATTCGCAAAAAAAACAATGTACAACAAAACAAAATGTTAATTAGCATTGTAATGCACAATTTGTCAATCAATGAAAGAATTATATTTTCTAATGTCAACAACGGAATTAATTTACTAGGAAAAAAAAATTTTATATTGGCATCAAATAAAATCGAGTCTCTTGAGATAATAATGTTAATCATCAATAGGGTGATACATTATTCATAAAATAACGATGTTTAAAGAATTCGAGAATACAGATTTTTTTTAAAATTCTATATTTATTGTTTCATAACAAATATTTTGTACCAATAAAATATTACATTGCTCTAACTGAGAATTACGATGTTTTTTGTGAAATAGAACTTTATATTAAAAAAAAAAATGCGATTATTTTCAAATTGATATCACAACTACAAAATAAAGATAGCATATAAGATTATTCAAGTGGAAGAGAATTATCTTTTTATTCTTTTATTCCTGTTTAATATCATTAGTATTAATCGATAAATGATCATTTTGAAAATAATCGATAATTAAAAGTAAAGTTACAATGAATAATTCAAAAATCTTCCTAGATTATGTCTCTGATATAATCAATTCTAATCAAGATTAATCAACTATTTATGAAGATTTATAATAATGTCGAATTTTAATTGTTAATAAATAAAGAATACAAACAACAAGTCTCAAATCTGACTACTGTTCCATGGTCCGATCAAGGTTGTAGCAAGGAAAAGATCGTTCATGCCTACCGTTCAAACTAAATGTAAGTACAGGAAGACCCACCTACTCCACACCCGCTTCGTCGAGTTCTTGAACAAAATAAATAAGATTTCATAATGGACGACATTCTTCTAATTCAATTTCTTTGATCTGATAAATTTGACCTCCCTTCGTCAGCTCTGCATAACGTTGTTCTTTTACTTGAAATACAGTGAACGGTACAATAAGCACTTCTTTTTCATCTCCAATATGACTAATTTTTTCAATGAAGAGACTTGATCGTGGATTAATCACTTTATAGATACACATAACTAGTGGATGAATTTCATTATTAGTACAATCAATAAATAGTTCAGCGATAGATCGATCTTTCGATGTAGAAAGAAATGAACGAGTTAAAACAATATTTCCTTTATTGTATTCTTCAAGATCTTTCTTTGTAATCTTCATTCCACGAAAGGTAGTACCAGAATAGTGATATGGATGAAATCGAGGATGATTAATAACAATCGAAGTAAATATATACTGACCAAGACCTTGTGGTGGTTCATTGTCGACGTAACCTGAATTGATCAAAGCTTGAGTACTAACAAAACGAAAATCGGAACCTAATTCAGCCAAATCATGATTTAATAAATAATGAAATTGAACTCTCGGATTGGTGTATGTCATTAATAAACCAAGAGGATCATCTTCTTCTATCACATACGAGAGTTCTTCTTTGATGATTTTTCGATCATTTTCGTCTTTAAACTTAATTTTTTCGATATAGTCATTAACGATTGCCTTGAGCAGTTTATGCAATGCAACTTTTGTCAGCCATCGTTTCATATGTTCATGATTCTCGTATGCTATTCTATAGGCATTTTTATATGAATCAAGCCATTCGACTTCACGTGATGAAGCAACAAAATGGTTGGAATCGGATATCGTTCGTACAGGTTCTTTGAATGCTATTCGAGTTTCGTCATTTGCTGCTAATTCTTCAGGAGTAAGTCCTTTATCATTGCAAATCTCGCGTGAAGCATGATAGCGTAATAAGAGTCGGACAAGTTTAGCATGACCATACATTGAAGCAGCATGAAGAGCGGTGTTTCCATCGGGTCCCAGAGCATCGATTTCGGAACAGTTAGCATTCTCTTGAACTGTTTTTAAATCATTATTGCAACAAGCCAACTAGAAAGTGCTCGGTTGTAACGATACTGAAGATGTCATCTTTTTGTTGAACCAGTAGAAATTAGGATGAAATTGTATATTTTAGAGATTCTGTTGATACGAATCTATATCAACGTTTATAATCACATTCTAAAACAAGATCTCATGTTATATTTGACTCTTGGGAACAAATTGTGATAATGCTTATTAGAGAAAGTAAGTTCACTTTTATGTCTATACGAAAGGTATCTTTACCATTTAAAATATTTCATATAAAAAAAAATAGCTGTTCCTACATAGTGGACACGATTGTTTTTATTGACATTGGCAAGATCATGTTGAAATTTGTTTGGTCAAAAAGAGAAAATTTCATGAAAGAGACTCTATGTTAAGGTCCTATCGTTCTATTTTTCTTTCCTGCATGCATTACTATTGGGTATGAGAACAATATTTATTTAATTAATGATATTCGTTTACACAGAACACAATTAAATAGAAATTTCATTTTTTAAGAGATAAAAATATGTCTAGGATTGGTGATCATTTCTAGACGATAGTCAATTACAAGTGGATGATTCTTGGCTCCTATTCGCAATTTAATTCAAATCCTATTTAGTTTTTACGTATTCGAAACGGAAATAGTCGAAATAGTTTCGTAATATAAAACGTTGTGTACCGAGCAAACATTACGGTTTCTCTCGAAATCCAGAACTCAACTTACACTACACACACAATTAACATAGCCAGCCAATAAGAAAAACTTCATTGATTCAAGAAAAACAGTGTGATACCTTAAGATAAATAACAACAATGATGACAAGTGTAAGAGAGAGACATAATGACGAACGATACTGTTAGACGAAAGATGTCAGTTCATACAAATAGATTTACTAAAAAAGGTAACATTTTGATATTGTCTTTCATCGAAACTTAAAATGGAAATTTCTACTGTGCTTCAAAATGGGCAACATGTTCGTCAAGATGAAATTAATTGAAATGAACGATAATGATCAATCATTTTTCTTTCATTGTTACAAAATTCAACTCTGGTCAAACAAGCATGCTAGTAAATTGTCGTATTACATAACTCTGTATTGTATACTGAAAAATACAAAGCGATTATGGCAAAATACCAAGTAAAACAGAGCTCATATAATTCGTCCGAGAAAATCTTTTACCTCGAGAATTTGACGTCAAAAATAACTTTCTATTAATTAAAGTTTGTATGTTGTAGAAGAGAATAGTAGCATTACAAAACTATCTTACGTAGTGTCCCCAACTGTTTTCATCATCCAACAAATGAAAACATTCATTATGACCAGATATAAAATTATTTTGACGATATCTATTCACCATAAATAAATGTTCATATTTTTGAAAAAAAAAAGCCATGAAGAATGCCGAACAAGATGCAATATATAGGTTATCAACTTTTTTCATTTCTTCCTTAGACAAACATGTCTCGAGCAAAAATTTTTATCAATAGAAGACAAAATGTTTATGTTTTTTTCTTCTAGTACATGGTGGTGCAATCATGATGTTTTTCTCTTGCGTTCTCTCATGCAACAAAAAAAAAAAAATGCTCTGACGACACACGTTGAAAAAACTTCCAACCTCATCACTCCTTTTACATTATTACATTCTATTTTGTTACCTCTTATTGATGCTTTAGTAACGTGAGTAAATAATAAAAGAAAAGTTTTTGATTTATACTCCTTTTTGTGTTACTCGAGTTGAAAATGATTCCACGTATGTTTGATGTTATCAAAGAACCTCAGACGGTTCTGTCAGCTATTGATGGCTATCAACACTGCCCTCTTTTACCGTTGGAAATTGCCATTAAACCTCTTATTCCATTCTTTGAAGATGGCAGTCTTGAGCGTAATGCTTGGATTGTGAAAGAAGGATGCAAGAATCCATCGAATAATTTAACTGTTGATGAGTCTGCATCAATTAGGTTATATACATTCAATTGGGATCGCAGTGAAAACAGTCTTTATTACTTATTAAATGAAACATTACGAACAGAAAAAAGAGAAAAACTTGCGCCTTGGTATACCTATTTAAAACTTCTTCTTACCGCTCTTTATCGTCTTCCACCGACTAAAGAAACTATTTTTCGTGGTGTCAAACTTGATATATCATCACAATATGTCGTAGGTCAACAGCATTTCTGGTGGGGTTTATCATCATGCACAGATTCAATGGATTTATTGCAATCGAAACAGTTTTGTGGACAAGAAGGACAAAGAACAATATTTTTCATTAAATGTAATAGTGGACGTTCTATAAAACGACATTCATTTTATAGTGGTGAACAAGAAATTCTATTAATGCCTGGTTTTTACTTTGAAGTTGAAAGTAATAGTGATCTTGGTCATGGTCTTCATTTCATTCATTTAGTCGAAAAAGTACCGCCACACGTTATGCTTCCATTGCCTGAGAAAGCTGGTATTTTCATCGAAGCTATTTGTCATAACAAAGCATGTACACTCTTTAATCGACAGATACGAATCTCATTTGGATGCTGCTCTCTAAATATATTAGCTGATCTTGATGAAAATAATTGTAAATGTCCATTGTGTTCTGAATATACAGAACCTGAGAAATATGGAGTAATAGATTGTTGGTGGCGTTGGTCAGCTAAAAAAAAAGAAAAACAATCAAAACCACCTATAACTTGTTCAGAAGATTGGATGTATGCAGAGGGTCCAACTTACTTTCAACCGAAAACTGATGAAAACTCGACAACAGTATGGCTAAAATTAGTTATTGAAGCGAAAGATAAATCCTCGTGATGGATTGAAAAACAAACGTTAGCAAGTATAAAGCACTTGAATGATATGGCAAAAGTTCGACTGAAATTCAATTTAGATTGAATAAATATATAATTTTGTTGTCATCAAATAATTTTCTGCTTTCTTTTTTTGTATTATTTTCACACAGAAAAAAAGGAAAGAACATACAAAATTCGCTACATTTGTAGATACAGAAAACAGTGAAAATACTAATTGACTCGAGAAATATTGATAAACTTTAGAGAGAAAGAGAACATTAAGATTATTATTTAATATTAAGTAAATATGCGAAGTCTATTTGGAAACTTTCTGTGTTTTTGATTCAATTCATAGCACTTTATAATGTAAAAAATTTCCTCGGTTACAATAGCTTCTAATGACTTCACTATTTTTATGTCAATTTGAATTTTCAATTACATTTTTTCTCTATTCCCAAGTCGTATTGTCATAAAATACATATTATTTGCTTACTTCACATTACTGTTAGTGGCGAAGTCAGGATTTTTGGCTGGCGGGAGCTGAGGTGGGACTCAGCCTC